TCTATAGTCAGCTAGTAAGATTGCAAGTAAAGTTGCTTAGATAATACTGATCCAATGGGAAATCACAAGGTGGGCAAAACTATGATCAGCCAATAGGATTACGACAAGTACAGTCGCTTAGGTAATATTGATTAGATGGGGATCCAATGGAGAAGCAAGGCAAGGAACAACAGTACAAGAATTTTCAGTCAGGGACCTTTCCTGGAAAGGGTGGGTAGGATCTTGGTCCCCCAAGCAGGTGACTGATACCTGTTTAGAATATCAATCACTGCTATTCATCCTGAGGGGAAGTATGCAGGTGTAATAGTTTCTCTTCTTTTACAATGCTGGCCTTCAGTGAATGTGGGCTCCTCGCTCCGGCCCTGTCTAACTGCCTACAAGATATCTAACTTACCTATCTACAATAGTAGGAGAGTTAGGGCTGGAGACTCTGCCCCTTAGTAGTTCCCTGTTGTACAGTTAGAAACAAAGGAACTGAGTGAGTCACTCCTTTCCCTTCTTTCCACGGTGAATGCTGCAGCACCCTAAAGATTACCCATGCTCCAGCTCAGGCAGACTGGAGACCTCAGTGAGAGAGACAGTGGGAGGTGCCTTGGTCAAAGCTATCTGACCCTATAAATGCCAGAAGGTGAGTTATCAAGCCTCCTTTCCCCACTTCATCCTTCTGCCTGTTCCTGCTGCTATCATCCTGCAATCTTCAGTAAATGTAGCTACTTACTACTGGACGAGAACCTGGACTATTTTTGGCCCACTCAACTGTAACACCTGATTGCCTGGAAACTTCAGGGGACATTTCTGCAAGTGATTTCTGTGCGTCACCAGAACACACCCCACCCTGGCACTGCCCATATTTAAGGTCCAGGTGGGAGTCCCAGGACCCTTCCTCAGGAGAATGGGGAGCCTTCTGCTGTGAGATGTTTCTTTCCTGCCTGAGTGTCCTGGCTCTCATTCTGGCAACCTAATGCCCTCACCCTCACCTGCATTGTTACAAAGATGGTTCCAGAACCGGCTTTCTAACTTACCTTTAACCCTGACTGCGTCCTAGCTGCATTTCCTTCACCTCAACTCCCTTGCTCAAAGTTGCAAAGGCCTTTTCAGTTGCACCCGGTTTAATTCACAGAGATGTTTTCAGTACACACATATGCTAAGAGTAGAGTTTCCAAGGTACATCCTGCTAGTGCTCTTCTCAAGATGCTTATAGGTAGTGTCGTTATAGGACCAGGTGAGTTAGAACTGTAGAGATGCACCACACTCTGAATTAAATAGTCCTTTATTATCATCAGCCAGCATTCCAGAGTGGATCCAGCCAGAAAAACTCTAGAAGACAAAAGAAAAGTAGCTTGCAGGGTCATTTTTAGGGCTCTTTATGTATGGAGGGCTTAGGGAGAGGGAGAACACCAGCGGAATTTCACAGGAGCAGAACTTTGCTAAATTAGTGGGGGTCAGGGTAAGTTTCACACAGTTTAATTAAAACAAAATAACACACAGGTGCAAGTCTTCTGTTTACAAGGTAGTAAAGATAACATAGTTGCAGGGGCTGGGAATTTAGCTCAGTGGTTCTGGCACCTGCCTTGCAAGCACAAGGTCCTGAGTTTGATCCCCACTACCAAAAAAAAAAAAAAAAAAAGATAACAGAGTTGCAGATTTACACAGATGCAGAGCATCCTATTTACAAGGGGGTAAAGATAACATAGTTGCAAACTCACATAGGCCCCAGCGTTCTGTCATGGATTAACTGAGGGGACTCCCAAGAGGGAAGGGGGAGGTGGCCGCCTGGAATTACTCGACTTTACACAAATGGAGTCAGGCTGGCTATCACAGTGTCTCTAAAAGAACATTCATGTAGGAGAGCATAGACATGGCTACAATATGGGCAAAATCCAGATCATGGGAATGGATAGGAGCTGAAAATAGTTCCACTACGGGGAGACAAAGAACATTATAATTTGAAGCAGGGACTTGAAGTCAGAGACCAGGGTCCCAAGTGTGCTTAGCCCAAGCCCCTCAGTTCAATTCCGTGCGCCAAAACACACACAAATAAATAAAAATAAAAGATCCTGGTTAGAGTATTTTTCAGATAGAGAACTGTGGTGTTAGTGTAAGCCCAACACCTCCAGCTATTGGACCACAGCTTGTCTAAATCCACCCATAGACATCTGGCTTTCATCCTACCCCTTCTATAAAATGGTGTGTTCCTCTGTTAAAGGGGTGGGGATGAACTAGCTGCCCTCTCCGCTTGGCCAACTTGTGAATAAATTCATTTTTCTGGGCTTTTCTTTTATTCTTGGTTACAGGCAGGTGAACAAACCCAGAAATCCAGAGAGCTGGAGCTTGGATCCAGGCCTGAGTCCCACCAGTTACATCAGGAGTGACAGTAGCCATTTCTAAGGATTATGCCGAAAAATGTGTGTCATATGCATAAGATAGCAGGTGGTCCAAATGGGTATTAGGGAAGGAAATCATACCAAGTTTTTGATGCTTTGTTGACTGTTGAGAAAAGAAGAAAACTTGGGTGGTATGAGTTTGGGTCTGAGGGCTCCTGAGGCTGAGATTAAGAAGTTAACCCACCTTTTTGTAGAAGAAGTTTGTGGGTTCACTGACTCTCATTGTGGAAAAAGAATTTGCAGTAAGAGGAAAGAGAAGGGTTTCAGATATGAGATGCACTCAAGAGCAGGGTGCAGGTGCTCAGAGAAACGAGATGCTCTACAGTTGGGAGTTAAGGATCTTGATGTGTTTTGGGTGGTGGAAATCTGGGAAATTTGATAATCTACAGTCATGGTCTTGTCTGGTTGGTGAGAGGATGGCCCACCTCTAGTGAGATAATGATCCGTTCCTCAGGAAGTCTTTGTTTTTATATACTGGAAATCTTTAAAGGTGGTCTATTCACAGGTGAATGAGGATCATTTCCAAATAAGCACGGGGAAAACCCATTTGTAGGAGGAATGTAATTGGCCGGGTTTATTGTGTTCTGAGAGAAGAGAAAGAGAAAGAAGAAGAAAAAACAACTGGGTTTATGTCCTGAAGCTGCAGTTTTTCTTGAAAGTACAATTAGTAAAATCTCAATTTCTGAGTCTCCTTTCTACCTACATAGTTTGTGTTTCTTCTATCCTACCTCAGGTGGTAGTTAAGAATAGAATATGGAGTCCAGATGAACGTATTTATAGACTGAGACAGAGCCTGTGGAAAGGGAGAGTTTGAGAACTCACTATGTAACCCAGGCTGGCCTCTAACTCGAACTTGCATCTAACCTCCTGCCTCAGAAATTACAGGTGTGCACCACCGCATCCTGGGAAAACAGGGAAACTTGAGGGTACACAGGTGATGAAATCTAAGGGGTAAATGGTGGGAGAACTTCAGCTTTCACAGCAAAGGATAACTGGAGAGTGAAACACATACACATGGGGCAGAACAAGTGGAAAGAAATTAAGGAGAACAGTCACCATAGTGAAGACCAAATTACATAGAACACTTGGAAAGTAAATTGATTGGGACAGAGAACAAGACATTTTGGTGAAGAAATATTTAAATTTTTTCTTTAAAGCACATTTATTCCCACTGGCCTAATAATCTTAAACACAAAATATAAGGAAGCCAAAAGTGGTGGCACACGCCTGTAATTCCAGCACTCTGGGAGTTTGATGCAGGAGGATCAGAAGTTTGACCCAAGTCTAGGCAAATTAGCGCCATTTTGTCTCAAAATTAAAAAGATCTAGGAATGTTACTGGGTTTTGGTATGCTAGAGTCTCCTTCTGGAGGTGGTTTCTAGGTTCTTTCTGTTCTGAGCAAAAAATTAGCTAAGACAAGCACAAATGGTAGCAAAGTTTTATGAAAGGCAGGAAAACAGGCTGGGCAGAGCAAATTCTGGCCAAATAAAACTAGGAAAAGAAATACAGGCTACAGCATGAGGATAGGCCACCATGCAGGAGAGAACACAGTGACCAAAACTCAGTATGGACCGTCCTCTTTGTATCACCCTCTCTTCAGGCTGACACAGGGTCTAGGTTGTCCTATGGAAAACCTACTCAAGTTCTCGATAGAAGTCCATGTGCAGGGCTTTGATAACTGTTCTGTCCATGTGTTTTGGGATTTTGTAATTAACAGGTATATCTTTTTTCCAGTCCTGCCACACCCTAATCTGCTCACTCAGGGATGTAATTCAGTTCAAAGGCCTTGAGTTCAACCTCAGCTTGTGTTACCATATGTACCAAGTTCATGGTTCCATAAACATCCAGGAAGTCATTATAGGAGGCTGCTGTGAGATGTGTCAAAGCCCGGACGTCTGAGAGGACCTAAGGACACAATGCCTGAGTTTAGCACAGGCCACAGTGGAGCTTCGTAATATAAAATGAATCGGTATAGACAACCACGCATGAGCCACATGGCCTGCAGTGTTGCCCAGAATGTTTTGTCTTACTATGTCTTAGTAAAATGACTATAAGTACTTTGTTGGAAAATAAAGCTGGATTCCTACTTTTGTAATGTCTGAGACATGCTTCTTTTTTGGGGGAGCCTCCCCTGACCAGGACTCCCTTCAGCCACCAGCCCAGACAGTCCTGTACCAAAAGATGTGAGAGTTTTATTCGAAGTAACAAAAATAGCTCCAAAATTTCCCAGGTTCATCGTGGGTCCTCAGGGCACCTGGCCACTCAAACCAGAGCTAATTATAGATAAGTACAGCACAGGAAGAGCGCAGTTGCCTAGTGGCCACTTATCACAGGTGACTCTATTTATTTAAATGACCAGTTGTAACTTAGCTTCTAATCCAGTTCTTCAACATACAGGATTTAAAAGAAACTTGCATTTCGGTGAAAAAAATTGGTTATTTTGTTGTTGGCTTCCTCAGAACTCAGGAACTCATCAGGGACTGGGCTGCATCCATATAAACCCAGGGAGATCACTGCATTTCAGTCTCTGCGCTCAGGAGCTCAGAAGGAAAAGGCCCTGCCTGCCTGCAGGGGGCGGGCTGCGTCCGTACTTATATCCCGGAACGTTCGTCCTCAGCCCTCCGGGTTCTCCGGAGGACGCCGCGCAGTCCCCGTGTGCTCTTCCGGCTTCCCCGTCGGGCTTCCGGGGTTGCCCGAGCCGCGCTGCAGACATGTCCGGCTTCAGCCCCGAGCTCATCGACTACCTGGAGGGGAAGATTTCCTTCGAGGAGTTCGAGCGGCGGAGAGAAGAGAGGAAGACGCGGGAGAAGAAGGCGAGGAGCCGGGCCGGGTCGCCCTCCCGTCTCAGCTGCCCCAGGCCCCGCGCCCCGGGGTTTTGTGCCCGGGTCCCGTTGGTTTGGGGCGCAGCTGGGCGCTGGTCGGGCTTGGGGTTGGAGCGCCCAGCAGGCCCCGGCCTCTGTCCCGGGCCGCTCTGTGGCTCGGCTGGAACCTGAGGCCGAGCTGCCTTTCATACTTATTAAGAAGTAGCTAAGCTTTCCGTGTGGTCTCCATACCAGAGTGCAGAGGCGTATTCAAACCTTGGGAAATAAAAGGAATTGTTTCTTAAATCATGCGATTTTAAGTCTTACTGTGGGCATTTTAAAATTGATTTTTTACAAATGACTTAGATGGAAGAATGAGACCCAAGTAAAGTGTTTTGAAATACTTTGACCGAATTCAGATTTAGATTCCACACCTGTGCTTGGGTAGGCTCAGGCTTTATAAATAGAAAATAAATCCAGTTCCCTCTTCACTGGGCAGGGCTAAACCTTCATTCGATTTTGGAATAAATTAAAACTTTCAATCGCAGAGTCTTCAGGAAGAAGGAAAGTTATCAGCCGAAGAAAATGCGGATGACTCTGAAGCTCCCTCATCCTCAGGGATTAACTCTAGCAAATCCCACGTCAGAGATGTCAGTGAAGGTACATGGAGACAGTTCACTACCTGCCCTAAATGTTAAGGGTACCCAGGTACATGGCCAGCTCTTTTTAAAACTGAGACAGGGTCTCACATGGTTTCCCGGGGTGTCCACAAACTTGTGATCCTCCTACCTCAGCCTCCCAAGTAGCTGGGATTGCAGGCCTGTGCCACCGTGCCTGGCTCAGTAAGTACACTTTGAGTCAGTGGATTTCGTGAGTTCCGGTGTTGGAAAGTGTTTCAGATCACATCAGTGCTTTTAGGAGCCCTTTTATATTTATTGAGTTAGTTATTTTGTGGTCCTCGGGCTTGAATTCAGGAAGTCCTGAGCTATATCTCTAGTCGTTTTTCTTTTGGGACAGAGCCTTCCTCCATTGCCCAGGCAGGCCTGGAGATCTTCCTGCCCCAGCTGGGGCCTTTCTAAGTCGTTCTTTTTTAAGTTGACCCTCTCAATTGGTAACTACCTGTAGCCTGTCCTCCCCCAGTTTGCACCCCACCCCAATATGTAATCGATGACCTTAATGTGTAAATGAATAGATTTCCAGTCATTGGTTCACTTTCCTAAAGATCAGAATGCTGATGATTCCTCATGGAATCCATTTGCTGGAGTTGAGTTAGCTGAGATGCTGAACCGTCAATTAGATAGTAGCTTTGCGTGTGGGGCCTCTTTGAGAACTAAGCTACTCTGGCTTGGGGAGGTAGGAGGAGAGATTGGCTCTTTCTTCACGGAACAAATAAACCTTTAAAATATGCACCCAGAGGGCCCGGGATTTAGCTCAGTAGTGCTGCACATGCCTCCCAAGTGCAAGGTCCTGAGTTCCATCCCTGGTACCAAACAAAAAATGGAAAAAGTAAAATACACACTCAAGAGAAAGCAAGTGAGGCTTATTCCTATCTCCCTGGACCGTGTGGAGAGGAGGGGCAGAGAGGAGAGAAAAGTAGTGTTCATTTTCTGCTTTGCCAGGCAAGTGGGGTGGGAAAGGGGCTGACGTTGTCCTGACAACCTGCGGGTTCTTCGTGTGCGCTCGGGGCAGGAGTTGCTCTCCACAGTGGGTCTGGAGATGCAGTGACCGCTCTTCTCACTGCCTGGAGCTGACCGAGAGCCAGCCTTCAGGCCCTGCCTGGAAGGAAGGGCTGAGCCGAGAGGGGCTGTGGCTCGTGGTGAGCCGCAGGCACCGAGCTGGCTGGCTTCAGCTGGGATAATCCTCTCCTAGCAGGAATTGCCCCAGACGCTTGGTGAGTGAGAGCAAGTGTTCATCGCAGGAGATGGGCTTGGTTTGGATCGCGCTCTGGCAGCGTCTCCTTGGAATATGTGCGAGCTAGGACCGCTTTTCCTCCTGCACATCGCTGAATCCTGCTGCTGCGTTTGTGTCCACCAGTGCCTTTCCTGTACACCACGCAAATAGGGTCTTTTTACTTTAGACTCGTTCTTGGTGGTACATAAAAGTTTCATTTGTTGGTGGTACTGGTGGTTGCACCCAGGCCTTTGCACTGAGCTCCATCACCTCCCCTACCCTTTAAAATTCTTTTGAGACAGGGTCTTACTGAGTCACTAAGTTGCCCCAGTGCTGGGACCATGTACCCAGCTGCAGTTAACTTTTATGTATTGCACCTTACTTAATTCACCTATCCTGAGCTTGTATGTAGATCTTTTTGGATCTTCTACATATATAATCTGTCATCTGTGAGTAAGGATAATTTTATTTCTCCCTTGCAGTCTTTATGCCTGTTCTTTTAGTTTATGGTATTGGCTAGGACCTCCTGACAAGTGTAAAATGGAAGTGGGAATAGCAAGAATCTGTGTCAGCCCTAGTAAATTTCAAAATTCAAAACTATGCTGGTGGAAAGATTTTATCAAAGCAAAGATACACCTTTTCATTTCTACTTAACTAAGAATTATTAGGAATAGATGTTGAATTTCAACAATGTTTGTTTGTATGAAGATGATCATCAGATTTTCCTTTGTTTCTCTGATAAATTTTACACACTTTATTTTGCATGTTCAGAATTCTCAAATATGATTCACATAACTCCCTATCAATACTTACCTCTTGCTGAGAACATGTGGCTTTTTAAAAATTGCTATGTTCACTTTCCTTAACCTTTGATGTTTGAAGTATTTCACATAGGTGAAATATGCATAAGGGTTTTTTGAAGACAAATGTTGTGCACTTACAGTAAGTGTCAATTATTTTCTTAGAACTTTTCTTATAACATTTTACATGTTTCTGTTTTAACAGAAAAGTAGCTGCATCCTTTTTTTGGTAGCGGGTATGAAACTTAGGACCTTGGTCCCGGGAGGCAGGCGGCGGCACCACTGAGCTAAATCTCCAGCCAGAAAAGTAGCTTCTTGTTTGTTTTTTTTGAGGCAGGGTCTCACTTTGTAGTTCAGACTGGCCCTGAATTCACTGTGTAGCCCAGGGTGGCCTGGAACTCACGTGGATCTTCCTGCCTCAGCCTCCTGAGGGCTGGAATTACAGGCGTGCACCACCATGCCCAGCTGAAAAGTAGCTTCTGAATTAGCCTATTCTTGATCAATCTAGGACATCATTATGAATGTAAAAAAATCCCTTAGTGGGATCCTAAGTTGTCAGTGAAGCTCGAGGCAGTGTTTTCTTCCCATGCTAATCCTTTTCTAATGCTAATAGCAGCATTCAGTGTGCTTGCCCTGTGTGCTAGGCTGTTCTGGGCACATTGGGAGCCTCAGTACTTGGAGCTGATGCTGGAGGTAATGTGTGAAGGCAGTGGCCTTGCTCTCTGGCCCTCGGCTGTCCACGGCGCTCTACCAAGTGGGCTCTGTCCTGCAGCCTTGATGACTGGAAAGTTCTTTTTCCTTTTGACCACTGAGTGAGCGGAAGCTCTTTGTTCCCCACCTCACTGTGTCTTTCCTTAGGAGAAACTTCAGATGGGGTGAGTAAGTCGGTTCAGAAGGTCTTTGACTCCATGCTCGGAGAGACTGAAGATGATGAGGAAGAAGAGGAGGAGGAAGAGGAAGGGGAGGAGATGCTTGAGCAACCCACAGCGGGTGAGGTGTTTGCACTGGAGCTAGTTCTTAACCGCGAAACCAAGAAAATGATGAAAGTAAGTCCTTACTTACTGTGCCTGTTGTTTGTGTAAGAAAGTGACATTGACATCGAAAAAGGAAAGTTTAAATTACACTTGGGAAACATTCAGACAACAAGGAAAGAAAGGCTATGAGAAAATAGCTGTCATTTATTTCTTGTTTCCTTTTGGAGACTTTTCATGTTAAACGTTGATTACTGGTGTGTGTCAAAATGAAGTAGTTTTTTTATGAAAAGGTCCATAGTATATCTCAATTATTTCTACCAAGTTCATTTTGAGTGGATAAATTTGAAAGGATCTTTAGTAGAGAATATAGTTTTTTTGGCATGTAAATCCTTTTCCAGCATAATAATTTTATTCCAATTTATCAGTTTCCCAACCACTTTGATTTTTGCTTTCCATAAATATTTTACTGTGCTTTGAACTTTCTACTATAAGAAGTTTTGTTTGTGCTTTTATTTGCCTAGGCTTTTATTTCCTTTTAGGAAAATTTTGTAGCATAATTTCATAGAATAATTCTGTTCTTTCCTGCAGTTGACTTTTTCTTGCAGTGTTACTTTTAAGGAGTCGGGATTGCAACCATTTAGTCTCTGCTTCTGAGTTAGAAGATGCAAAGCTTTAAAGGCAGTTTCAGCTTCATTATATTTATCAGGTAGTTGGGATGGAGCCTTAAACTTTACTATGTTTTAATATAGTCGTCATTCTTCTCCCGTGCAGGAGAAGAGGCCTCGGAGCAAACTGCCCAGGGCGCTGCGAGGTCTCATGGGCGAAGCCAACATCCGCTTCGCGCGGGGGAAGCGGGAAGAGGCCATCCTGATGTGCATGGAGATCATCCGGCAAGGTGCTTTCCTGGGCTGCGCCACTGGGTCAGAGCAGCTGAGTGACCGCTGGGAAGCAGAGGGACGCTCGTCCTGCAGTGTTTGTAAAATACATTCAGGGACATGGGGTCATTGTCTGTGGTGAGAGTACTTTGCCATTTGGCACACTGAATAGAAGTGCTGATCTAGCAATGAAGTATCACTGAATGTTATTGAATGAAATATCAGTATTTATTGAATTTTGTCAGCTCATTTTTTGGTTTTGTGTTTTAATCTTTTTCTTTCAGAGTTTAGACTTTTGTACTGGTTTTTTCTTTTAGACTTTTGTACTGTTAATCATTTTATTTATTTTCTTTTTGTGGTACTGGGGTTCAAACTCAGCATCTCATATGGAGGCAGGCATTGTACCAATGATCTGTATGGCCGGGCCTGTTAATCTTTTCCCATGGCAAACACATGCTCAAACCACTTAGTCTTCTTCCATTTGCAAGATCAGGCCATGCTAAGTTATTTTAATCTCTCTCCTTCTCTCTCTTTTTGAGACAGGGTTTCACTATGTAGTTCATGCTGGCCTTGAATTCATTATGTAGCCCAGGTTGGCCTGCAGCTCATGGTGATCCTCCCCAGTGCTGGGATCACAGGCATGCGCTACCATGCCCAGCCTTTAATCCCCTTTTTGATCAAGATACAATTTAAACTTCTCATCTTTTGATTAAATGGTGCATCTTGGGCATATTGAAGGACATCTTCAAAAGTAATTTTTTCTTTTGACTAGTGGCTTATATTATTTTGCTTTTCTAATTGTCAGCTGATGCCTTGTAGAGTAAGTTGGCTATTTGTTTTCTAATACAATGAATTTATTTTCCTTTTCAGTATTTTGGCATTTCAATTTTATTAAACTAGGGTCCTTTTAGAATTCTTGAAATAATTTCCTGGGTTATTACGGTGATTTAGGGCCAATATTTAAAAAATCATTCTCTAGTTACTGTTTGCAGTTATTATTTATATTACCGGTGATTGAGTACAGGCCTTTGGACTAAGTTGTGTTCTTGGCTCTGTGGGGGTTGGGGTTGGGGTTGGGGTTGGGGGCCCCTTGTTAACCCTGGGCTCAAACTTCATCCTCCTGCCTCCAGTGTTTTGTTCTTTTAGAAATAAGATGAAGTATATTTTTCCAGAATATTTCATTTGTTTTACTTTCTACTATTGTCTGTTCCTTTATTTCAGTTTATAATTGTTTATTTTTGACCATAATTTTTTCCATTAATCTCTAGTAATCTTTGAATTTTATTTTATAAGCAGTGTTTTAGAAACATGGATTAACCAGTCACTTTGAGGTTCTGGGTTTAGGTGCTGCATACTCTGTCCACTGGTCAGGTACTCCCTGGTTCAGGAGCTATCTTCTGCAGACTGATGTGCTGATGTTTATCTGGTGAACTTGCTGAGTGATTGGGCCTTAGTGAAGGGGGATATCACAAGGAAGGTGTGGCAGAGAGGTGGGTTTTTCAGGATACTGTATATTTTATTTAAATAATGCTTTGTTTAAAAACTAAAAATACATGAAAATAGAGCAAATGTGTCTAAATTCCATTAGCTTGTGTGATTCCACGTGTGCTGAAAGAGTAGGTATAGGTGTAGCAAAGACGCACTGTATGAGCCGTGGGATTGGCATCAGCTCACATAGCTTCCCTCAGCCAATGTGATGTGTTTTCCAATTCCTTTAGCTCCTCTGGCTTATGAGCCGTTCTCTACTCTTGCCATGATATACGAGGACCAAGGCGACATGGAGAAATCCTTGCAGTTTGAATTGATTGCCGCACATTTAAATCCCAGTGACACTGAAGAATGGGTTCGACTGGCAGAAATGTCTCTGGAACAGGACAATATTAAGCAGGCTATCTTCTGCTATACAAAAGGTAACTGAAATGTCTTGCGCACTTTGATTACCAAACACATAGTAGGTGTTTGCTGATTGCACGTGCGGCTGTGACGATGTTGGCTACAGTGTGCTTGTTTCCTACACTCTGCTTTACCAGTGATGTTTGGATCCCTCTGTTCTCGTGCTTAGCAGCAGCTTTACTTATGTGGTGAGCTAATGTAGCACAAAAGTTGGTAGAAGAACAGTACTTTTAGTTTCCTGCTGAGTCTGTCTTGGCTTTAAGCTGGCCCTTGAAAATTCAGGTCAGACTTGAGTGACCAAATGAAGAAGGTTAGTATGAGGACTCGGGCTTTGTCTGGTCTTAGATCAGTCCTTGTCACAAATTCCTGTGAAGAAAGCTTTCTTTCAGATAACTTCCCGTTTTCATTGGAGAATTAGTTGTGTTTATTAAATTTTCTGGGAAAATGGTGGGTCCCGCTCAGGTGCTGTGCACCTCTTTGTGTGAAAAATATGTAACTTACTCCTTTCCTTTCTTCTAGCTCTTAAATACGAACCTACTAATATCCGTTTTCTGTGGGAGCGATCAAGTCTGTGTGAACAGATGGGTGACCATAAAATGGCAATGGACGGGTACAGGCGAATTCTGAACCTTTTGCCTGCGTCTGATGGAGAGCGCTTTATGCAGTTGGCTAGAGATATGGCCAAGTAAGTCTGGGTCATGTGCTTGTGCGCACTGTTACTAAACGTCCTGTTTTGTGAGGCAAAGCATAAATTTGAAATAGAATATGCCTGTCATGAAGATTCGAGGAAGCATTTTATGTTGTGGTTGAATAATGAATTTTTGGAGTACTTTTCTGTTTCCCAGTCAACTGATTGTTTAGAAAACTTTATCCATAAGGTTCCATTTCCAGTGCTCAGATGCTGAAAAGTGAAGCATGTTCTGAAAGGTGGTGAGGTTCCTGGGTTTTCACAACCTACCTGAAGTTGTATATATTTGCAATATTTTTTAAATTACTTTTTGGTGCAGACAGGCCAGTGAAATGTTTGTAATGTGAGATATTCTAGTGATTTTATCTTAAGCCAGTAGAATAACATTTGAGACTAAAATTTATTTTTCTACAGTTGGTACATATTATTGACTGGTATGTACTTTATTCTGAAGCACAGGAAACATTTTGAGCACGTTGTTTCTTGTGGTACATTTTTGTGGGTTTTTTTTTTTTTTTTTGAGACAGGGTCTTGCTATGTAGTTCAAACTGGCTTGGAACTCACTATGTAGCCTAGGAGAGCCTCAAACTCAAAGCGATCCTCGCCTCAGCCTCCCACCTGCTGGGATTACAAGTGTGCACCATCATGCCTGGGAGTGGTTCACTTTCTGTTCTACGGTATCTGTTACACAGTGTTTTAGCCTCACATTAGCCATCTTGATCTGGACACGTTAGGTTAGGTCCGTTAATTCTGTGGTCTTGCTTCTGATGCTGCTTAGCTGTCAGATTGCCCCGTATAAGCCCAGGAATGTGCTACATAGGAGTACCAGAAGAGTTTTAGGAAACTGGGTGAGGCAGGAGAAGGCTGAGTTGATCGCTGTAGGAACACCGTGAGTCCCAAGGGCCTTCCGGGTTGTGTGCTAGTAGCTCTAGTGATCACAGTGGTCGGTGTAGTAGGCTTCTGTTTGGGAATCATTAGGCGGCCCATGCAGGAGGCTGCTCTTCCACTGCTGTCATCTGGTTTTGTTGAAACAGTGGCAATAGGCAGTTCTGATCCTGCTGTGGAGATTTTCCTACTGGAGCTGTGTTGCTGTGACTCTGAGTGACCAGGCCTCCCTCCAGAAATACTGACTATGTCTTAGGTGGGGGCACTGCACAAAGAACACACTGCAGAAGTCCCCTGCTCTTGTGGAGCTTCCATTCCTGTGGAGGGCGGTAGATAGTAAAGAAACAGATAAGTATATGTCAGATGGTGATGATTTGATAAAATATAAATCATAGAAAAGGGGATAGGAATAGGAGGGATGGTGGTGTGTTATTTTGAAATAGGGTGATTAAAGATGGACTTAGGCCCTATGTTTCGATCACACTGAATAAAACATACGGATATTTAGGGAAGAGCAAAGCAGGCAAAGGAAATGGCTAGAGGACAGGTATGTTCAGGGACAGCATGGTGCTGAGGGTCAAGGGGTGGATAGCAGAGAGATTTCAGAGGAACAGAGCTGTCTTCCCTTGTGTGCTACTGTAAGTGCCTTGGCCTTTACTCTGAACGACATTAAAATCCACTAGAGAGTTTGGATAGAGGAGTGACATGGTCTGACTCAAGCGTCAGCTCTGGCTGCTCTTTGGAGAAGAGGTTGAAGGGAGGCGAGGGCAGAAGCAGGGAGTCCAGTCAGGAAATTACTGCAGCGATGGTTGGAAGGGAAGACAGTGGCTTGGACCAGGGTAGGTAGGGTCAGCAGGAGGTGATGAGAAGCAGTCAGACTCTGGATGTAACCTAAAGGCTGAGCTTGCAGCTTGTGGTATACTGGATAAAAGGAGTGTGTGCGCACATGCACGCTAAAGGAGAGACGTGAGAGAGAGAAGCGGGGATTGGGAAGAGCTCTGAGGCCTGAACCATGAGGGTTGCTCCAGCATTTAGTAGTTGAGGAGAAGAGGAAGAAGCAGGAGGGAGACAAAAGGCCAGGGCCAGGGAAGGAGAAAGCCCCTAAGAAAGCAGGGTGTTCTAGAGTTGAATTGAGGGAAGCCCTTAAAGGTGCCAGCATGATCATTTGTCTGAAACAGTGCAGACAGACCACGGAGGAGGAGGACCGGGATTGGCAGCGAGATTTACCAGCCCGGGCCCCAGTTTTGGCAGAGTAGGAACCGCAGGTTTGCCTGGATGAGGTTAGAGAGAGTGGGATGAGCCTCAGGAGAGCCTGCGGGAGTGGGCAGCACTGGAGGGGCTCACAAGGGGCGGAGGGATGGGCTATAGGAAGAAGAGGTAGGGGGAGTTATAGTGTGCTCAGGCAGGAAGTCCCCGGCTTACAAACGAGGTCCGTCCCAGGAGAAGGATCGGAAGCCGGTTCGTTCCTATGTCCGACAAAGTGAGTCTTACCCAGTACACCCGTGACGGGTTCCTAACTCAAATGTTCAGAAGTCAGGAACTTACCGTATTTAGACTGGAGTCATGCACAGTTGAAGGCACACTGAAGTTTTTTGAGAGCCAGGACAATTGTATTGTAATTGTCTTCCTCTCACATTTTAAGAATGTGAAAATTAGTTGTTAGAGGGCCCAGCAGGTTTTCTCACCAGAATGAAATAAGCCTTCATGGTCTTGCCAATTTGTAGGAGTTACTATGAAGCCAGTGACAGCGCCTCAGCTATTAACATAATCGAAGAAGCCTTCTCCAAACACCAGGCCCTGGTCTCCATGGAGGACGTCAATATCGCGGCCGAGCTGTACATTTCTAACAAGCAGTATGACAGAGCTTTGGAGGTAGGCGTGCTGCTGCCTTTTCCTGAACTGGTCTACGTTTCTGTGTTCATGAAATTCTTAAAAATTGACCGTTCTTGGCTTTTTTTGGTACTGGGGATCAAACTTGGGCCCTTGCGCTTGTGCATCAGGCAGCGAAACCAGTGAGCTAAATCCCCAGCCCCATTCATTTTAATTTAATTCTGTGTCTGAAAAATTGGTTTCTAGATTCTGTAGTAATTCCGTATGAAATATAAAACTTACTTCTCCTGGGGTGTGTGATCCTGCCGTTAGTGGTGGTGCGCATGTGTGTGCCTGCCCAGGCGGCAGGACAGGCAGGTGGGCTGGGTACAGTCAGGTCTGAGCTGGGGGGTGGATGCATTAGCTGATGAGGTATTGAGTATCTTTAGCTAGTGCTGGTTAGCGTGGAATAACAGTGGGAATGTGTCACATCGCGGGAGTCTTCATTTTAGAAAATCCCTCTGTTCCTTTTCATATCCCACTTTATGTTGCAGGGATTATTTGAATTATTTATAAACCTTGCATTATGAAAAGGGTTTTCATACGTAAATATGACGGTCTTTCTTTTCCCCATTCTCTCAGGTAATTACGGATTTTTCTGGAATTGTGCTAGAAAAACAAACTTTGGAAGAAGACGGCCCCTCTGAGGAGAATAAAGGTAGTTTACTCACACGGGACAGTGCCTGCTCGTTTGGCGTGGCTTTTGTGTCTGTAGTTAATGTCCTCACAGCGACTATGCCCGCAGTGTGCGCGTGAGGCTTCCGGGGACCGTGCTGTGTGGTCAGGGCCCACCGGGAGCGCATCTCCTCCCTGCGGGAAGCAGGCCAGGCCACATGGAGCCTTTGGTCAGGAGGCCTAGATGGCCTGACTGCCGGGCCCTTGAGCGGGCAGAGTGCTGGACGTGCGTCCTGGCGTGAGAACCAGGAGTTTCAGTGGTTTGGAGAGACTGCCGGTTTCACTGCTAACCCGAAATGACAGCATCTGCTGATGGCGGAGGTGTTGCCGTTGAGGTGCGGGTTTAGTTCTAAGTGTGAGAATCAGGAGAGGGAGTGTCAGTGATGGAAAGAGCTCTTTGGGGACGAGTGCTGCCCAGTGTGGTGCGTCATGCGTCCCGACCGGAGGGCTGCAGGCACGCACACCGCCTTCCTCAGACGGCTCCGTACCCCGTCCCTGTGCTGCCCATGTGCCCTCCTGGGTGAGTCGGTGACAGTTTGTGACTGGCCCAGGTTCTAGGCACAGCTCAGCCCTCTGTCCTTGTTCCCTGGTGTCCTCCTTGGCTCATTAAATGTTCTCTTGTCTCCTACCGCGGCTGTGACCTCTGCCTGCTCCCAGCCTTGTGGAGTAGCTGAGTTTAGACACGCATGCTATATTCGGGCTAGCTGATGTGAGGTTACAGCGAGCTTCTTGGTTTTACGTGCATTTCGCTGAGTGGCGTCAGCGCCCTGGGGCTGCTGCAGCGCTGTGCCAGCTGGGTGCTTCATGGACCTCACACGTCTGAGGCTCACGGCCCTGCTTTCCTTGCAAGCCATCTGCTGTGTCCTCAGGACGGGCGGGAGGGTTGAGCAGAGCTGGGGCCTGTCTGCCCTCAGGCCCTGCTCAGTCCCAAGGCCCACCCCTTAGTGCTGCCCCCGAGAGCTTAGTTCCAGTGTTTGAGTTTTCGGGAAAGAAATTTCTACCAAGCAAATCAAAACGATAGAGTTTGCATGGAACCCAGGGCTCATGAGGTGAATGGCTGCAGGCAGATGGGGCCAGGTCTTCACTACGCTTCACAATGCTGAGGGCCGGTTTGCAGGGAGGTGAATTCTGCTTTCTCATCAAGCAGAGTAAATACCAGTTATTATCTTGGAGCTCAGTGATTAAAGTCTCCTAATATTACAGCTTGTCCAAATCTCCCTATGACTTGGTAACTTTATATGGTACTATAATTTATAACAAGGTCTTTAAAAATGGATGAATCTAATTTTTAAAGTAATTTTAAATTTTATTCTGCCATTTCAGGTAAATTGCTAATGTTTTATGCTTTAGAATTTTCTGAAGTGGAAACATGAAATTTACTTGGAATTTATGCAAAATATAAAATAAATCTGTCAAAAATCTTTTTTAATTTCCCAGGGCTTTAAGAAGTTTTTGCTGTAACGAAGTTTTAGAAAACAGCACTGTATGATTTTACCCTTTTCTTAGACTTCTTGTAGTTAACACTGGAAAGAGGGTTTTGAATTCAAGAAGAAAGGAGTCATACATCTCTGTCATGTTATTTCTTTGAAGTTTTTTGTTTTGTTTTTGAGACAAGGTCTTACTATGTAGTCCAGGCTGGCTTTGAACTCACAGTGAGCCTCCTGCCTCAGCCTCCCAAGTACTGGGATTAGATGCGTGCACTACCATGCGCCCAGCTGCTTTGAAACTTTGGTAGATAGTGTGGGATTTATGTGCGTTTGGCTGAGTAGAAGGGAAGACGAGAATGGGAAGGGCCGGTGCTGAGCAGGACAGATTGGAGGAGTTGTGAGCGCGCGTGCGGCTGGGGTCGCGTGGCCCAATGGACGCAGCCCTGACCTCTCACGGAAGCTGCCTGCCTTTGCTGTCCCTAGCCTGCGATGGCATCACCTGTGCGGTCCCTGAGGGCGTGCCCATCGACATCATGGTGAAGCTGATGGTCTGCCTCGTGCATCTCCACATCCTCGAGCCGCTGAACGTAAGGAGCAGCGAGGGCTGAGCTCACCCCTCAGGCCTACAGGAAAGTGCAGCAGGACCCCAGATTGCTCACCCTCCTAACGCAGGAGGGCGCACACAGCGGGCATTACCTTCCTGTCAGTGCCTTCAGAAAGCTGGGGGTTTTGGAATTGGGCTTCTAATAGGTTTTTCCCTTGTAAAATGAACAATCCAAAGATCAGAAATTGAGATTGGGCCTTTGGACAGTGGGTAAGAATTCGGACTGCTCTTTGCTCTTGCTGACCCTGGACCGTATCGGGGCAGGGATGTCACTCGGTCCTCGAGGCCTGGGGTTCATCTACTTTGTTGACCTTAGGATAAAGTGTTGAGTTAAATATAAAAATCCCTACTTTGATGGGTCTTTTGTTCTAACAGGATTGGATAATAAATTCATAAAATATTTACAGGTTATTGGTTGGTGTAGGGGTTCTAGAGAAAGACAAAGAACAGTGGGTAATGGTGGGGCGGGAGAAAGTTGCACATTTTCAGAAGGGGTCAGGAAAGACCTCCATCTGCAGGGTGACCTTGAATAAGAGCTGAGGGGAGAGGACCTCTGAGAGCCTGCTCTCGGGGACCCCAGCCAGGAGGGCCTCACAGGGCAGCTGGGCTGCTGGAGGGACAGCGGCCCAGGGCAGAGGCCTTAGTCGCCCTAATGGCGTTGGAGCAGATGTGGGACTCGAGGGTGTGCACGGCTGTAACTCCAGGCTCGCGTGTGCCCCAGCCTCTCCTGACGACACTGGTGGAGCAGAACCCCGAGGACATGGGCGACCTCTACCTGGATGTGGCGGAGGCGCTTCTGGACATTGGGGAGTACAGCTCTGCGCTGCCGCTCCTCAGTGCGCTGGTTTGCTCGGAGAGATACAGCCTCGCAGTGGTCTGGCTCCGCCATGCAGGTAATGCTTTTCTTGGGGACGGGAACGTTTCACTCACACTGGCGAGCGGCAGGAACTTGCCTTGCCAAGGCGGTAGTGACCACCAAGCATCACCTTTTGAGTGCACAGTGTGCGTATTTCTGGTTCAGGCAGGTGTCGGAGGTCACTGTTTTAATCGTCTCCCTAGATTGCTTTTCCCTCACTCATGCTTTGGAGGAACTGGTGACTTAATGGTAATAAGGTCAAAGGACTGAGGTGTCCCTTAAATGCCTGCCTTAACCATGCACTGTGTTTGGTTTCTAGTAATGCGTTATCAGACGTGGAGTAAAATCTAACCTTGGAAGAGTTTTACAGATTTACATTCAACGCTGTTTTTAGAAAACAGTTAATATATTTTTCATGCTTTTTAAGCCACACATACTCAAGATTATCACTTTATTTCAGTATGCCTAAGTCCATAGTAGTCTGAAATAAATCAGTAGAAAAGTAACTTATTAATAGATTTCTGACTAATTGAACATAAGCTGTGTTAAAAGTAGAGCACTTTTGGTTTAAAATACTACATGATGGAAGAAAGTTCTAGGCTCTGTGATATTATATGGCAGCAGAATGTTCTTGGCCTGGAGAACACTGGTTGACATTTCAGGGTGGGAGTGTGGCTGGTCCCAGCACAGGAACTGGGAAAGAGCCTTCATGATTATGTGACGCTCATCTGTTCAGAGGAGTGAACAGCAGTTCACATGTTACACCACCATTAAACATGATCTTTGGGATTTGCATTTTAAAGATGAGCAGAGAGCTTAAGTTTTGTACCTCTCTAAGGCTGTGATACTGAAACTGCCCACGTGTAACCAATAGCAGGTACTTTAAAAATCCTGTTTAATTATGTCATGATTCCGGTAAGTGCTGTTTCCATTTGGAGTCCGTGTACCTTGAGATGAATGAAGGGTGAAAAACAGAGCGTAACATAATATATCTTTAACAGTGAAAAATGAAAAAATACAGGAAATGCTGTTGTGGTGGTCCTTTTTTTTTTTTTTTTTTTGGTACCAGGGATCGAACTCGGGTCCTTGCGCTTGCATGGCAGGTGGCAGCACCACTGAGCTACATCTCCGGCTGTGATGGTCCATTTAAGTATTCTAATTTATTTCCAAATTTGACTGCAAGATGGTGGTTCGGGGCTTTGGAGATCAGTTGGAGGCAGGATTTTTAGGTGATCCGCATGCGCGCGCAGTGGGAGAGAGAGAGAGCAGATGGCAGGGCCTAGATTCCTGCGCCGCGCTCGGGAGGAGAGGAGTGCTTCCGGCGACTGAGCTGGTGGAAAGTGAGGAGTCTGACAGCCGCACTTCTGAGAGCGTACCGAGGGACTGCGAGTGGGGTGAGCACTGGTGGCTGATAACAGGCCGGCAGGTAACCAGGGAATGAAGTGGGTGAGGCCTGAGCCCCGGGGAGCTCTTGTCCGTGTGGGGCCCCCTGGGCCAGTCCTCATTCGCCAAAGAATCCAATACTGAGGCCGGGTAAAAATCCTACTTTCTAAATACGTAGACAGCTGAGAGTTTTTAAACCACTGTGCCCTACTAAACATGTCTGTAGGTGAACTCGGGACCTCTATCCATGTTTACTATGGTATTATTAGAGGAAAAATTTGGAAACAACCTAAATGTCAAATAAGATGATTAAATATTCAGTTTTATTATGTAACTATTCAGAAGGCCTGCGACGACCCAGGAAAATGTTTAAAGCATAGTGCTACATAGATAAAGCTGAACAGCAAACTGAATATTATGCTGACTACATGCTAGCCTTTTAAATTTAATTGGATACAAAGATCAGTAGATTAACTGATCATGCAGTGGAGATACTGTGGTACTAAAGTACTTTGAAGTACTAAAAGGTGCACATTCGCCTCTCTCGTACTTCTCTGTATTGCTGCGATCTTTACAGTGGGAGGTCATGGAGGCACGGTCTGCAGCCCGTAGTCCAACAGTGCTTTCTCTGACCCTCGTCCTAGAGTGCCTGAAGGCCTTGGGCTACATGGAGCGTGCTGCTGAGAGCTACAGCAAGGTGGTGGATCTGGCCCCGCTCCACTTGGATGCCAGGATTTCCCTTTCCACCCTTCAGCAGCAGCTGGGCCGTCCCGAGAAGGCGCTGGAAGCTCTGGAACCGATGTATGACCCAGACACGTTAGCCCAGGATGCAAATGCCGCACAGCAGGTGGGCATGCTGCCTCGGTCTGGTCCCTTGCAGGACCAAATCCGCACTTCTGCTCAGCTGATAAAGGGTGTCGTGGCTTATAGTCAGCGTATCTGACTGTCAGATCAGCAGATTCCATCTCACTCCAGTCAGAATGGCTTTCTGCACGGACACAGAAAACAACGGATGCCAGTGGGGCTTGAGGACAAAGGGACCTTCCTCATTGTTGGTGGGAGCATAAGCCAGTATCACCACTGTGGAGTCAGTGTGGAGGTTTCTGAAAAATAGAACTTCAGTTTGACCCAGCTGTACCTCTTCTAGGCATGTTACCCAGAGTTAAAGGTTCACGCTGCAGTGATGCATGGCACAAGCCATGCCAGCTTAATTCTGGAGTCAGTCTAGGTGCCCATCCACAGACGACTGGGTAAAAAATTTGGTGTATAGACACGTGGAATATTATTCAGCCATAAACAGTGAGTTCATGTCATTTGCAGAAAAATGGATGGATCTTGAGACATAGTGTTAAGTGAAATAAGTCAGACACAGAAAAAGTTAAGTACTACATGGTTTCTCTTGTATGAGAAACATTAAATATAAGTTTATTGGTACTTCTTTTTGGTACTGGGGCTTGAACTCTGGACCTTGCGCTTTTGAGGCAGGTGCGGTGCCACTGAGCTAAATCCCTGGACCTTAAATATAAATGAGTAAAATAACGGAGAGATGTAGGAAATGGGGAGGCAGACTTTTCAGCGATGGGGAAGGGGATCGGGAATGATGGGGGTCGGAATGAGCAAAGATAGGGCTGTGTGCCCGTAGCTCTCTGTCTCTTTGGTCCCTTAGTTTCCCCAAAGTGAATGTAACTATTACGTATCACAGATGCACACTGATAAAAATCAGCATCTTTGAAAAGTGACTTCTGAGTTCCTGAGTCCCAGCCACTTTGTCAGACACTGTAAACTGTAGTTTCCAAGACACTGGGTCTTAGTTATTAGGAAAGGCCATAAAGCGAGTGTCCTCACAGCCGGGTCCCTGAGGCACACCTTCCCATGCACGTGGCTGTCTCCAGCGGGCGGCTCCGCCACACTCAACGGCCCTGCGCTTCTCCCTCAGGAGCTGAAGCTGCTGCTGCACCGCTCCACGCTGCTGTTCTCGCAAGGCAAGATGCGCGGTTACGTGGACACCCTGCTCACCATGCTGGCCATGCTCCTGAAGGTGGGCCGCTCCCCGCTCCCCACTCCCCGCTTCCCACTCCCCACGCTCCTGCTGACTTGGGAAACAGAGTAGCCACTGGATCAATGTGGGGCTCCTGTCACGGCTGTGTCGAGCTGTCCCCAGAGCCTCGCGCCCCTGGGTGGGGTTCTTGAGAGGTGGCTGGATGTCGAGTGTGACGCTGGGATTGACTCATGGTGCAGTGCGGGGCTCGGGGCAGGGTCCCAGTCACGTGTGTGAGTGCTGCCCGCCTGGGTAGTCTCCAGAAGATGAAGGGCAGGATGCTGTTAGGTCCCTTGCTGGTCCCTTTTGCTGTCTTCCGCCTTGGAGCCAGCTGATTCTGCACTGAAACCTCTACACACGGAGCTAAATAAATCTCTCCTTCTTCGACTTTGGGTGTCAGGTGCTTTGTTTCAGCAATGTAACTACGACAACTCCCTTCCACTTTTAAAGTCAGTGAAAAATGAGTTAGAATGTAGTGGTGTGCAGGTCTGTGTGATAGCATAAATTCAGCTGGAGAGTAAGTGAAGTAAAATCTTTCCTCCTATTTCGGAGGAGAGAACCACGTTGGTGCTAGAGACAGCACCGTGTGCCTAAAGTGTTCATTTTGCAAAACATGTTTTCCAGACTGATGCCCTTTTAGAGTCTGGCTTTTGCCAGAAAATAGGCACGCATGTGCTTGCTCCCCACCACCTCTTCCCCTACACGTTATTTTTTTTCTTTCAGTTTTTTGAGACAGGGTCTTGCTATGTAGGTCAGCCTGACCTTGAACTAATTATGTAGCCCAGGCAGGCCTCGAACTCATGACAGTTCTGCCTCAGCCTCCTGAGTGCTGGGATCACAGGCAAGAGCCACCATGCTTACCTCTGCACATTTTATAAAGTGAGCATGAATTGCTCTCTTTTCCCTTCTAAGATGAATACTCTGACCCCCCCCCCATTCTTTTGGTAAGAAAAAATAATTTACTTTACTTTTAGATGTGTGCATGTGTTTTTTAATGCAGTAAGTTGACTGCTGTTTTCCTTCTTAGGGAAGTTTTCATTCACATTCATGGTGTTTGTGGCTTATTAGTCTTTTAATAAATTGACTAAAAATATCTAATTATCATCTTTAATTCAGGTAGCTATGAACAGAGCCCAGGTCTGCTTGATATCCAGCTCCAAATCTGGAGAGAGACATCTGTACCTTATGAAAGTATCGCGAGACAAAATATCAGACAGCAATGACCAAGAGTCGGCAAATTGTGACGCAAAAGGTAATTCATCTGCTTTGTTATATAAAACTCAGCTGAACTGAAAGACTGGTGAAGTCACAACTGATAGTAATCTCATTTTAAATAGACCTTTTTCAGATAAAAGGGAATTTTGAACTCTAAATAACTTACATATATTAAGCGGCTAAAAGGAAAGTCTACATGTACAGTAAGGCCCTGACATATGAACGGGTCAGATTTGTTCCTAAATCCAACAAAGTACACTGGTGAAAGTTCACAACTCGAATGTTCATACGTCAGGGACTTACTGTACTTCAGTTTTAAAAAATTTGAAGGAAGCTGGCACATACCCGTAATCTCAGCATTCTGGCAGGATGAGGCAGGAGAATCACAAGTTTGAGCCCTGCCTGGGCAACTTAGCAGCTTAGCAAAATTCTGTCTCAGAATAAAAGGGAGGGGGCTGGAGATAAAGCTCAGTGCAAGGGCCCTGGGTTCAGTCCCCAGTGGTGCAAAATTAAAAGGAAGACATTTGGTTGGATCTTTGTGTGACACAAGTAAAATAAAACTTAATTTTTACTTTTTAAAAAGAAAAATATTTGTAAGAAATTTTTGAAGATTGGATAAGTGTAGGGGCTATTTGTCCAGTCAGTTCAGTTATAGATGTTCCATTCTCTGTGAGACTCACTTTTGACAAAGCTAGTAATCCTCATAGAAGCTCTTTAAAAGTAAGTTGTGACCAGTGTCAGGTTAGGACTAGGAGGCTTCTATTTTTACTTGCAGAAGTGTCAGGCATGCTTGGGTGGGCTTATTACTCAGGTCTTTAGAAATGACTTAGGCTGCAAGCTAGACCTGTCAGGGAAAAGATGGCTTGTTCATTCGGCAGACACTGTGGCAAGCTGTTGGAGCCCGAGGACGGACGGTCGGGCGGCCTCAGCTGCTGACAGCCTGGCTGTGGGTGCAGGAGTCCAGCGGTCTCTCCAGCCCCCGCCCTGCCTCTGCAGCGTGTGTTCCGGGCCACATCCCCATAAAGTTCGTTTCCTCTACCACTGACCTGTTTTCTCATTGACTCTGTATTTCAGGTCTATTGTTGGTCTTCCTTAGATCCATAAGGCTGTGCTAATTTTATCACGGTTGGGATAGGATGAGGCAGCTCTGTAGGTCACATGCAAGGCTATGCTCTGATATTTCCCTCCCGGAAATGTTCTCACAGCGCTGACCTTACAGCGATTCTATTTTAGGAATGTGGAACATCCCACTGGACAGCAGTTCCATCACTTAGTCATTATCTGGTTTTTTAATGTAATTACTTTTTTTTTTTTTTTGGTACGGGGATTGAACTTGGGTCCTTGCGCCTGCACAGCAGGTGATGAAACCACTGAGCTAAATCCCTGGCCCAGTTACTTCTGGTAATTAATAATAATTGGTAAGCATCTTCATATATGTCTTCTTTCACATTTTGATTGTCTGGATAGATTCCCAGAAGAATCGGGGTCCATCAGTCCTCCGACTGCCTAGAAAGAGGGTGACGAGGCCTGAAGGAAGAGAGACGATTGAGACGTTAGTGGTTCAGAGTGTGTGTGGCCGGGGGTCAGTCCTCAGAGCGGACAAAGGTTCCGAGCTGGCCACTGTTTACTGGGTTCTGAGGGAGAATCAGAGGACTCGGGCGGTGATAATCCTAGAGTGACGAGGATCTTATGATTCTTATGATCAGAGGAAGTATCCATGACTGACGAGGGTGGTGATGATCCTAGGACGATGAGGATCTTAGGCCGATGAGGGGCTTATGCTGACTGGGAAGGTGAGATGAGTTCTTACAGCAGTAGGTGGGCTGAGGTAAGCTGCTAAGGAATTTGCCCCTCCCCGCGAGACCTTTCTCCTTCTGTATTACTGCTCGGTTCTTGCAGAACCAGGGTGTCCTCAGCTGGTGTAATCTTGCCCTTGAGCGTCATAGCATCAGGGACATTGAGGCCACAGACAGCCCTAATCAGAATTTAATTGTGAAATGATTTTCCTCCAGAGTTATGAAGGATGCTCGTTCTGCCCAGAGAGGGTGTCGAACTGGCATGGAGAGTGCCGTCGCAGTGAGGAGTCACTGGGGTCGCAAAGGGGACGGCACTGAGGGAGTGCTGACGAGAGGCGACCTTTCTGCCTTTGTCAGACTTGTTAGCAGGAAGTCAGGCCCACAGGACGGGGGCTATGAACTGTGAATTTTTCTTGCTATTAGTATTACTTTCTAACTGGCTTCATTTGCTCGTTGTAGCAATATTTGCTGTGCTCACGAGTGTCCTGCCTAAGGATGACTGGTGGAACCTTCTGCTGAAGGCCATCTACTCCTTATGTGACCTGTCCCGCTTTGAAGAGGCTGAGCTGCTGGCAGATTCTTCATTGGAATATTACTCGTTTTATGATGACAGGCAAAAGCGCAAAGAACTAGAGTACTTTGGTCTGTCAGCTGCAATTCTGGACAAAAATTTCAGAAAGGCATACAACTACATCAGGTGACTCTTAACAATTTATTTGAATTCGATTACTTGATAGCATACATACTTTCTTTTCACGTGGCCTCTCCTAATGAACCAATACGTGCTTGTTGCTTACTGGTTCAGTTCACTGGTGATTGTCAGAGGCAGTGTTTGAGAGCATGGGTTCTAGAGCTAGATTTTCTGGGTTCGCATCCCAGCTCCGACACTTTCTGGCTATGTAATCTAGGCCAGGTCCTTAACTTCTCCACCTCTGCCACCTCATAGTACACCTCTTATGAGGGCTCAATGAGTTACCACATATTTAATCTTTATTTTTCGAGGTAGGGTTTCGTAGTGTCACTCCGGCTGGGCCTGAACTGAGCGATTCCCCTGCTCTAGCATCCTAGAATGCTGGGGTTCCAGGCGTGCCCCACGATGTCTGGCTGCATAGAAAGCCTTTAATACTGCATGGAACCCCTCATTATCAGCCTCCATCAGTCTGTAGTAGTGGTGGGCAGGGAGCAAAACAATGAAACTTAAGCCATTTCTAGGTTTTGTTTTGGTTTGGTTTAAAGGTTTTATTGAAAAGCAGAAACAAAATGTAGACTAACTCTGGCAGCATTTTCTAGGATAAATCTTCTGTTGGGTATAAATAGATTGAAGCAATCTGCTCTCCTTACTGAAGGTGGTACATTTCAGTGTTGGAAGGACAGCACTGAAGGTTTCATTCTAAGAATTAGAATTTCTTTGTACATGATTTCCCCCCATCCTCTTCTTGCAATTTTAGGATAATGGTAATGGAAAATGTCAATAAACCCCAGCTCTGGAATATTTTCAACCAAGTCACCATGCATTCCCAAGATGTACGACATCATCGCTTCTGTCTCCGCCTCATGCTGAAAAACCCAGATAACCATGCCCTGTGTGTTTTGAATGGACACAATGCGTTCGTGTCTGGCAGTTTTAAGCACGCGCTTGGTAAGTGTTCTGACAGGTGGCTGTGAAGGGTAGAGGGGGTGGGCTACAGCAGAACTGCCGGGGTTCAGACGTCAGCTTCTCCAGGGCAAGTTACTCTTGTCTCTTTCTGCTCAGTTCCCTTAGCTGTAAAATGATGAGAGTCATTGGACCTATCCTGTAGATATTGTGAAAATTCAGTGAGTTAATATAAACTACTTCCAACAATGCCTGGTGTGTAGAGTAAATGCTCTAAGTACTGCAGTGGTACCTCGGGTTTACAAACACTTTCGTTTGCAAACTCTGCATCGGGTGACAAACACGACTGCAGCCATCTTTCCTACACAAACACAAACGTGGCTATCTTTTCCAAAATCGTAGAAGAAGTTAGGTGTGTGAACCAAGGTACCACCATATTGACAATAATGTTAGTTTGTTATTAACTTTTAGCTTTAAAAGCCTAACCTAGATCTTATAGTTCATTTTAAAGGTCAGTAATTCTCTTTGCTTACACTTGTTTTAAAAATAATTTTCACTGGGGCCAGGGGTGTAGCTCAGTGGCACAGCACCAGCACCTGCCTGGCAAGTGTGAGGTCCTGAGTTCGATCCCTGTCACCAGAAAAAAAAATTTTTTTCCACATGATTTTAGTTTGAGATAATGCATTTAAAATTTGTTGATAGTCATTTCTTTAGGATCAAGATTTTTATATGGTGCTTAGAAATTCTAGTTAAACTTAAGGAAAATTTGTTAATCATTTATAACAAGTTTCTGTAATAAGGGATCAGAAGCAAACAAGAAGAAAAATACCTAATCAAATGTTTAGAATTAGCCACATACCTTCTACTTCCTGAAAACAGTGTCACTGGGTTTGCTTCTGAATAAACTGTCATTTGGGCTATTTACTACTTTCATGTTTGTGTATGGTGGATATTTTTATAATTTCTCAGCCATAACTTCAATCATCATATGTCAGAACTTTCCTCTGCTACAATATGTGATTTAAATTGAGATTATTTTCCTATATTACCAACTTTTACACGTGGTAAAAACGGAAAAGTCCAAATGACAGTCTGTCATCTTTGCTGCTGAAGGAACTCTAGTGCCTGCCATCCCTTCTGGAAGAGAAGTTCTTTATTCCATGTAGCATGAGGTGTAGATTATTCCTTTGGGAGAAAAATTTGCCTAAACTCTGTTGTGATATTTAATTGTTTTTTTTGATATAAATATATACATGTAATACGTAGAGTTCCTATAACTCCATATTATTAGATAAATTAGCTTTTCTCAGGAAAAATAGTTGCTAAGTTGAGAAGAAACATCTGAAAAACCTGTTTTTCCTTTTTATTTCCACGATCAATTAACCTTACACATGAATCACCACTCCACGTTCCAGCACAGTACATTCAGGCCTTTCGCGCCCGCCGTGATGAACCTCTCTACAACATGTGTATAGGCCTGACTTTTATTCACATGGCATCCCAGAAGTACGTGTTAAAGAGACATGCTCTCATTGTGCAGGTAATTCATTTGGAGTTCTCATTTCTGTGTTCCTTGCAAATGCATACATTCAATGCTTTTTTTGTTTTTTGGTACCGGGGATTGAACTCTGGTCCTTGTGTTTGCACAGCAGGCAGCGAGACCACTGAGCTAAATCCCCAGCCCCTACATTCAATGCTTTTTAAAGACCCTACTTCAAACACAGTACTTCTTGGTGTAATACTGAGAGCACCTAGCCTAATGCCCATGTTCAGTGCTCACGGAACTCTGCAGAGTTGTGCACATGGCCAAGCTGTGTTATAGCAGTACAGTAAAGGTATGCAGCCAGACCACAGGAGAGAGAGCCAGGCAGAATCTACAGAATCAAGGCTGTATTAGTTGTCTTTCTTTTTGCTGAGACACTACCCAACACCCGTGACTTAGGGGAGGAGAAGTTTGGTTTGCATGTGGTTTTAGTTGATGACCTGCTGGCTGTGAGCAGGAACTTCAAATTGTTCAGTTCATTCATGGCAACCCAACCCTCTGTGAGTCAGGCTGGCTTCAAACCCACAGTGATCCTCCTGCCTCAGCCTCCCAAGTGCTGGGATTACAGGTGGGCGCCACCACTCCTGGCTCCAACCCCTCTCTCTAACACATTCATGTGGGGCCATAATTCATCTCTCACTGCTGGCACCTCTGGTTTGAACGTGTTGTGTGCCTGCCAGTTGAATCATTGGTGGTACCCGTGTGACTGTCCCATCAGGCAGTGTGCATGTACCACCTGTGGTTCAAGCCGGCAGGAACAGTTAAACCATGCTTCATCTCCAGATAGCCAGGCATGGCAAGGTCATAATTCCAAGTGTAATTCAGCTTTCCCGTATACAACCAGAAACATAGTAATCCCAGTTCCAGCATTTTTAAAGTCCAAGTCTCTTCTGAGACTCAAGGCAAACTCTTAGTTATGAAGCTCTGTAATAGTCAAAACCTAGTCATGTAATCCCGAGGTAGAATGTCACAGGCAAGACATCCCTGTGCCAAAAGGGAGGAATGGGTGTAGGGAACAGGGGAAGGGGACGTTACCAGGACCTCTGCAGTGAGTCCTGGTCTCCTGTGAGTCACGGCAGCACAAGGTGAATTATAGGAAAGGCAGACAAATGAGACTGAGAAGAAGCTGAGCTTTGGGTCTGATCAGTGCTGCTCTGGGCAGCAAAGACTCGAAGCCCTAGCTTGCAGCACCTTTTATTTAGTACATCCGGAGAAACAAACGTAACAAATGAATATGTAGATTTCAGTATCACTTTGGGATGAACAAGGTATAACAAAAGACTGGGTGGGGTTGG